GCAACAGTCCTCGGCACTTGAAAGAGTTCACGGGTGGCCAGGTCTCTGGAGCAGATATAGACCAGTGCAAGGCTTTGATACAGACAGGCTTTGATACAGTTAAGTTGTACAGCAGAGCTCACTGGTGGGTAGTATGCTTTCCCCTTTCCTCTAACGACTTCGCAATGTCTCCTGGACATGAAATTGAGCTGATTTTCCTGAAGGATTGGCAAGGGTTCATTCTATATACTGAGAGGCTGTGATTCAGAGGGCTAAACAACATGCCTACCCTGCAGTAGTGAGTGGGAGTGTGGGAAGAATGGAGTTATTGGTATGCTATTCAAGTTTGGAAAAAAGCTCAGTTCAGATTGAAACAAATTTTACTTTTCTGCCTTTTCTTTAAACAATAATAAGAAAAATATTCAGTATGTCAAAAGATGCATTCTTTTCAGAGTGAGCTGAAGCTTCCTGTTCTCCAGACCGCTTATGGAAGGATTGATATGCTGTAGTGTCCCCAGTAGCAATGGACTTGGTTTGACATCCCAAAGACCCTTATTTCTTTACCTCATCACCCAGTCATCAGCACAATTACCTGGCATGTCAGATTACTGTTCAGTGTTATCCCATGCTCAGAGTAATTTGAGCATATCCCCTGAATAAAACGCCCCACGTCGTAGGCTAAAGTACGTGAATGGCTGTCCGTTTCCCTTGATTAGGCTACTGCACTTGTCTAAGAAACTGGATATTAATCTGAAAGCAAAGCAAGGCAAATATCCCATTTTTAAGCATGTGACCCAACCATAATATCACAGATCCTTGCTCTTTCGCTGAATGACTAAGGAACACCAATTCGTAATGTGTCTCTATATGATGGTTTCCTGGTCACAGTCTCCCGGGATGTTCAGATCTCCTAAACAGACTGAACCCAGATCCTTCGCTTCCTTGGGTGAATGCTCAAGCCAGCTTCTCTTCTGGAGGCTTTATGAGTCTTGTCTGAATTTTTTGGAAGCTACTTGGGGGAGGGGAGAGGAGGTAGTAGAGTTAAAAATGAAGGTCCCCCCGGGGAAGAAGGAGGGGTGGGGAGAAGTTGGTTTTAGTTTTGTTCTTATTTCTCACTAATTAATTTCTGTGAAGCCAAGTCTGTTTTGCACATGACAGTAACTGATGAGTGATCTCCCTGTCTTTATCATCATTGATGAGCTTTTCTATCATATTTTCTTCCCCTGTCCTGTTGAGGATGAGGCATGATAGAAAGCTTGGTGGGCATCTGTCAACAAGCCAAGGTCAAACCACCACACTGTCTGTGTTTTAGACAGCCATAACTAGTTAGGCTGGAGCTGTGTCTGGTAAAGTATGCAAATCTTTAGATAGTCTTTGAAAACGGCCTCTGACAGTAAGGAATCCTGATGATTTGTTTCCATGAAAGGTACTTCTGGAGTATGGGAAAAAAAAAAAAAAAAAAAAAAAGAAATCAGAAGTCTTACTACTGATCTCTGGCCATGTTACTGTTGAAATCCCCATATCACAGCTCCTGTAGGGGTTGCTTCTTCCTAAAAGCACTTCACTGATGGGATTAGAAGGGTTGTCTTCTTCAGCAGTATCCATTTGCTAGGCATTCACCTCAACTCTCTTCATGGTGATCACATCTGTGACACCCAGATGATGTTGCCTCCAGGTAGCCACTGGATAGAGCTAGTGGCAAGAGGCAGGTATCTGTGGTCCTGACTGTATTCACTCCGTAGTAAACTGTGAGTATCTTATGAACAAAAGAGAATGGTCTTGAGGCAGTGGATAATCTTACTTTCACTAAATGACAGGTGTTGAAAACAATTTCATCACAGGGATCGTGTCCTTTCTCCCAGACAAAAAGGTACACATGCAAAACTTTCTGTGGAACTACAGGGCAAAGGTTCACTTCATATTTGCATTGTTGTCTTCCTGGTAAGGGCTGTACTCAAGTTTAAACCCCACACTAATAGCTCCCAATTTTGTCATGTCTCCACTGGAACCAGGAAATATGAGCAGATTTTTCTTTCCTTTTGTTAATAAAGGAGTTTCGTCGATGTTTCATGTTGCTTAGTTGTGGTAAAAGTCTGGTCACTTCTTGCTTTATTTCATCATCTCAGGAGGTTATCTATTAAGTCTTTATGGGGTTAAAAATGAATCCAGATGTGTTTATGCAGTATCTGCTTTAATGCAGTAGGCACAGCTGTTTTTTGGATGTATCCTGGCTAGATTCCAACATGAGCAGTCACATTTTCCTCATCTCTGAACTTCCTTGTACTTTTAACTATCAACAAGAACACAAGAACCACAAGAACATTATGAAGCTTGGTATTTCCAAAAAGCATTCATTGAGAGTCCTACTGCTGTGAGAAGAAATTTTAAGAATTAGGCATTTATAAATTTATCTGGAGTTGTGGGTTTTTTCCCTACTAGCTTTTGAACCTTTGGAATTAGGTTTTGAGCCTTTTCTTGTCAATGATACAGGCTAAAAGCTTTAAACTGATCTGAAAGTGTTGAGTCAACACAGCGCTGAGGGGTCTGGTGTAGTTGGGAACCGTCAGTGTTTGCTTAATGGTTGGACTGGATGATCTTCAAGGTCTTTTCCAACCTGGACGATTCTGCGATTCTGTGAAAGCGTGGTTTATTCATATAAGGCCAAGGGTTCCAGTTTTGGTTTCATCAAATATCACGAAGCTTAGGATATGACTGTGACAGCTGGCAGGATGGCAGTAGCCAATGACTGATAGAGAATATGGGTGGATATTGAAGAATATGGATGTAACATCTTTCTGATGGAAAAGGAGGGCTCACAGCTTGGCCCGAGGCCTAAATTTATTTTCTTAAAGGAAAATTTGAATCTAAAGGGCCAAGACAATAATTTCTATATTCTTGCTCAGGCATGAGCAATGTCTGATTGTCTCTCCTGGCAAGGGGAACATAGGTAGACATGTGTCGGGACCACCACTAGGCGTTCTTCTGGGGCGTGTTGTATCTTTCAACCGTTGGGGTTCCCCTGCTTCTTGGTGGAGGTGTGGCCATTTTGTGTGGTTTTCCTGTTAGGGTTTATGCTTGTTTACTGTGACAGAGTCAGCTTGGACAGGAAAGTACAGGATTGCTTTTGCATGTGGAAAAGATGTGACTTTTATTTGAACTCTGTCCCCTGTGGGATGTGTAACAGTAGAATTTGAGCGCTGTGAACCTTTTGTGGCTGGTTGCCGGACAGGGACTGACCAGCAAGGATGAAAAGAGCTGTATCCCTAGTGTAAAATTGCTTCAGTGTTGCCTGGTGCATTTATGTGGCTGCAAGAAACTTTCTTTTCCGTTTGGAGCTGTGTGTGTCTGGGCTTGTCAACAGTTTCCAAGGATATTGTCTCTTTCTATCATCTAAAACAGCAGTGTGGCCAAGAAGAGAGTTGCGATACCAGTTCTGGAGATTTCATTGCACATCTTGATGTCTTCCTTGGAAGATCCAGCACGTGGAATTACCTGAAGGTAGAAGCTTCATCGTCCCTTTTTAAAGCAAGGTTCTGTTTCTCACGTTTTCAGATGAACTACTGATGAAAAAGGACTCTGAAACTGGAAGGCAAACAAAAAGACCAACGCAGACTTACGACTTCAAAGCTGTTCTCATAATGTTGGATACCTCAGTCATAATATTAATTAGGGTTGAAATGCTGGTAGCTGCTATAACAGTTGGACCAGAATCTATTTTTATAGACCAGTGGTGTCTCTGTTTCAATATTTATTTGTTTTATACTAAGCAGAGAACAAAATCAATAGGGGAGGAGGGAAATTATCTGTTTTCAAGATAATAACAGCAACATGTAGGTTGTTATGCAATGATTTCTCTAGTGATCCACATGATTAACAGCACAAGTTTTTCCTTGTAATGCATCCAACTAGATTCCTTTTCCCTTAACAGTTTTTCTGTTGCTAAATTGTTCCTTCATGGGATTTTTCAAAGTGTTTCTGAATTGCATGGCATTTGTTATAGGGGAAAAAAAAAAGAGAAACCTGAGCTGCCATTGTCTTTGGTTAAATTCAGATCTGTGTCCAAAGTGCTGGTATTTTCAGACCTTAGGGATCTGCTTAATGCTACCTAGAGCCAGATCTGACTGTAAATTGTATTTAAGTTCAGACTTTCTTTAGTTAAAAGCATGTCTGTGAACTGTGATTCAGGCTTTAGTTTTAAAGTAAATGTTGTTAAATAATTTTTTTTTTTAGAGTTAGGAACTTACTGAAGATGAATACTGAAGGGATCTGTGGATAACTCTCTTTTGATATGCTGCCTACAGCTAAAACTAGTTACAAAGGGCTCCACCCCTGCAATAACTTACGGCATGGTTTAGAGCTAATGTGTGTAACACGCAGACTGCGGGAGCTAGAAACAATTCCAAAGCATGCATGTGTGCGTGCACGCTTACGGCTCTGGCTTTCCCAAGCAAAAGCAAAAACTGTGAAGAAACTTAGAGGTTGAAGGGGTTAAATGAAATACAACTCTCCTTTTCCTGTGCAGTAAGGATTAGTAACCAAACAGAAGCTGGAGAGAAGAGCGCTTAAGAGCCACTGTTTGAACCAGAACTATAGGAAACTGATTTTTACAGCTTGGCTGAAGAGTGGTTTAAGTGTCTCCAACTTTTACACTCACCTTTCACAGGTACATGCAGAAGGTAAGAGCTGACTTTGTGTTCTGGGCTGTCTTCTGATCTCTCTACCTGGATATCTATTTTCTAATAGTCTTTTCAGTGCTATTTGTGCTTTTTAAACTATTTTTTATTTCCCACCACTTTTTTCTTCCAGTTAAAAGAGTACAGGGGAGAGGAGAGACCAGAGTCATTAATACTGCAAGATTTTATTGCCTAGAAGGGAGGGAAGAAGCCCTACGTATGTGGTGAACATTAATCCCTTTCACTTGCAGTTGTTTACACTGAGATTTAATATAATCAGAACTGCTGTTCCTGACGTTGTGGTTGGGGGGAGCAGGGGAGTGAGAGAGGAAGGTACCATTTTGATAGGATGCTGGATGAGCCCTCTGGGGTCAGGCATAAGAGCTCTACCAGAAAGAATGCAGAAAGCAAGAGAAATGTAGCAGGGGTATTGACTGAAGAAACATAATTTTTGCTTGTAGGAATAAAAGCCTGCCTAGGTGCTCTTGTACCCCCTAACTATCACCCCTGGAGTGCTCAACTGCTTCTGTTCATGTGCTAGCAGGTGCTGAGGGGAGGGAGTGTCTCCTAATCTGTCCTGCATTGCTTTCAGCTGTGAGAGACAGGAGCCATTTGGGAGGCCCAGCCAAATGATGCTGTCAGAGTCAACAGACCTGTTTGTGAAAGGGGAGGCTTGCAGGACTGGATCTCTCCTCCCTGAGGAACTCTGATGTGTGAGGCAGGCCAAGAAGGCAGCTTCAGGGACCTGTCCTGGCATGGAGATGGTAATGGGCCGGTAGCAATGTGGAAGGGTGGTAGCTTTGTGTGATGCCCCAGTGTTCCTTGTGGGTGGTCAGGTGGAGGTAGAGGAGTGTTCATTTAAAAACTGAGTTTCAGAGCTTTGATGAAGGTCATGTTAGTTTTGAATGAAGTTTCTAGGATTAGGGATAGATGGTGTCACTACAGGAGCTTAGGGACGTGGTATGTTTCTTTAGGTCTGTCTGTAGAAACCATAAAGAACCTTTGATTATGTCAAATGTGTCTCGGAGTTTGTTTTATCCCTTCTGCACTGTACTTCACCAGCTTCTCTGTAAGCTGGCTTGCAGCTTATATGTTTTTCTCCTGGCTTCTTAAGAGATGTACCACTCTGCAATGCCAGAGCGTCTGTGGATAGAGCAGCCGTGAAAAAACATTCTTTCTGAGGTGCAGTGTTGATGAGCCAATGTGCTACACAGCCACGTGTGTGTTGGACAACCTCATATGGACTTTCAGGACAACGTTCTGCTGTTACAGGGAGAAAAGGGAGGTGTTTGTGATAGGCAACAGAGGTAGATAGGACCATGTATCTTTGGCATGGCACTAGCTTAAACTAATATTTGTTCATGTTAGTAAATGGAATTATTAATAAAAAGCAAAAAAAACCCATCCCAACCCTGAACAAATTTGCTGTCTCTGCAAGTTATGCGTTTAGCATGCTTTCCTGTCCAGTGTGAGATAATTGAGACTTCTTTTTCAAGCATATTCTCAGGTTCTCACACACTGTGGAGCATCCTGACATCTCAGAGGTGTTTGTTTTTAAAATATTTTGCTTCATGAATGTAAATGCTTGATGACTTCACAGAAATCCTGGGGTTGGGATAGTTTCTTTGTAGCTTTTGCATATTCCAAATCTGTTTGCTAGTGAACAGTCCACTCTGTAGCATTTGAGAAAAGGTATATGTGATGAATGACTTGGGGTGATTTTCAAGCAAGGATGTAGGTTTTTGTTTGCTGCTGTCTCTCTATATATTAAAAAGAATATTAAGTCTAAAACTAAATTGTCTTAATTTTAAGGGAAAAGAACAATCATTATGCTATAGAGCAGTTAGGGAATGGATGATCTCAAATGTTGCTGTTCAATATGTGTAGTAGCTTCTGATGCAGATAATTATATCTTTGGTTTTGGGCTGGGCTCTCTTTCAGATGCAGCTACTTACTGACTTGGTAACAGGGAGTGCTGGTAGAGTTCATCTAATCTAGTTGTCTCCCAAATTAGGCACCAAGATTCAGTTGGAGTCTGTGTGAATGGCTGTGCCCTGACTTGCTGAAAGGATTTAGGAAACAGGAAAGGAGTTATGTTGTTGCCACTGGTTTTCTTGGTAGTACTTCAGCTAAAAGAGCAAATTTTTTTCTAAACTAACATGGGTGTTCTGTTAAAGTAGGGGAACTGGGCAAAAAACCTCCAATGTTGATTTGGGCCCCTTCTTCTGAGTGCAGTGTAAATAAGGTAAAATACTGTTGGGTGCTTCAGAACAGGTAGGGCTTAGGCTGCCAGAAAGATTTCTCTTTGTTCAGAGGGGGGCTTTAAATGTTAACTGTTTTATTAGTTCATGTACGTACCTTATGACTCGTCCTTAAACAGCAACCATGGCTCTCATCCTCTTCTAAAAAAGCTGCTGTTTTGTATAAGAACAGCACCTAGAATGCATAGGATGCAATTACAATAGTTGTTTTGCTCTTATGTCTGTGGGAAGGATTATACCAAACTGATGATAAGCTACTGAGACAGTGGTGGATGATTGCTCTGTTCCAGTACAGCCATTTGCAGTTATGCCCATGGTATGATGGGCTTGTCAAAATAACTTATTTTGCTGGAAATGATACTCTGCTGCACACAGCTTCCCTGTCTCACTTTTTAATGCTCTTGCATCTGATATGTGATTTGTTGTGGTCCAGTCTTGTCTTGCCTAGTGAATAATAATGGTTACTAGACATCTGAGAAGGGGCCTCAATATAAAAGGATTTGAGTGGATACTTACTCAGATGCACAGTCTGCGTACAAACCCCTTGTTTATGCTTTCTCACACGGTAACAAGCTCGCCTTCTCGACATGCGGACATGATGTGTAGGAAACAAGTAACGTCCACGGATTATTTCTCTGCCTAGCCCTTAAAGCAGTAATTGGAGGCTCTGCTTGGGGCATCTGTGGGAGAAAGCAGCTTCAGAGCAAAGAACCAATTTATTTTTAGATTTCACTGTTGTCATTTTGCTGTGATCACACAGTTGAGCATGTGCTTCCTTTGAGATCTCTCCTGGCACCGCAGTGCGATTGCACCCTCCTAAGATCATTTTTTATGAAGTTAATTTTTAGTGACAGATGAAAGATGGTAGGGCCGGTATCCTTAGAGACTGCAGCCCTAATTCCGCTAGCACACGTTCTGCCTCCTAAGTTTGTTATTCAAAACTTCTGGGTTTATTTATTTTTTTTTTTTTCTCTTTTTCATTTCTTTTAGTTCTCCTCATGATAGTTACCTCTCCCTTGTGGAGTAATGTAAGTAAGCCCACTGTCTTCTCTGGGGGAACTTCTGCTTCATACCACTGAAGGTATGTCTGCATCACAGTCAGTAAGGGTGATTCCTTAGGGAAGAGATGTACCCATGCAAGTGTGGCATGCTTGGCTTTAGAAAAAATAAAAAGTGTCTTAGGTTCCAGAAACAATGTAGAGGCAGAAGCAATTTTAGAAAAAATAAAAAGTGTCTTAGGTTCCAGAAACAATGTAGAGGCAGAAGCAATCAAACCACACATGAGGTTCAGAGTAAATACTCTCATGTTTTCCTGTCTATGTTATTAGTCCCCAAGCAAATTTATTTAAAGGTAACACAGGTGTTCCCTATGTATACTACAAGCACACTGTTGAATGTAGTGCCAACATCCTCTCCGTGAACAGAGATGTAGATCTTGCAGAGAGGCACAAAACAATCTGCATTGTTTTAAAGTTTCCTTTTGAGATAACGCTCATTTTTAATTTTTATTTTTTAACCCCTTGCACAGCACAGAAGATTGCCATATTTATATTTAGATGGAATTAAATAAAATTAGAAGTAATTTTCTAGCATTGAAATCCTTTGTTTGCCTAAAGAATTCTCCAACATTTGCATTGGAAGGGATTAGTCTCAGCTGGCTAACATATTTGTAAACAGCAGCAGTGCTCAGCATTGAGTAATACTTCAGATCAGGCTAAATAACTCATGTAAGTGAAGCTTAAGCTATGACAGAACAGTACTAAATGTAAAAGGCTGTTAGCCATTGCTCTTCAATTATGTTAGTGTTTAGGATATTTTATCCTTGTCATGTATTTTCCATAGGCAGTGTGTGGCTTCTTGTTTCAATATTAACTGTCTAAATTAGCCTGTGTGCACTTGTCTTTATCCTGATGTGCTCCCAGATTTAATTAACAGCTAAGCACAGTGAGACTACCGAAATAGAAGGCAGAATCCTATCTTTACTCCTTGTAATAAATCTCTAGCTGCAAGCCTAATAGTGGAAGGCTAGTTGCAGAAGATTGAATCTCAGCTGATGTTAGTAGGTAGACAGAAAATTGTCCTTATGAAATACTGTATTAGCTCCTGTAAAGGGCTGGCATAGTGACCACATGTACTTGGAAGATGCAGCTTTGGAAGAAGCAGGTCTGCCTCTTCCCCACCCCCGATAGGATATGGCATGAAGCTTTACTAGAACCTTCTGTGTGTTTCACAGTCTGAGCTTGCCCTTGCACCTAATGCTTTTTCAGCTACAGTTTTGTGTGATTTTGGTATTCAGATTAAAGCTGTATGACGGAGGCTGCTGTAGCTTCCCCAGGTGTTGCTGAGCTTGGCATTGCTGTAGAAGTCCTCTCTAAAAGCGTTGTCAGTCTGAGTCAGCTGCATTAAGCAATGGCCTGGTGCAGATTTATGTGCCTGTTGTGAATCAAGCTGAAGGCTGAGATGAAAGCCTATTGACAAAGCAGTCTAGAACAGGAGTTCTCAACCTTTCCTTCACCATGGTCCCTCTTTAAATACCTTTTGTGGCTGCAAACCACCAAGACTTAATTCAAGATTTAAAGTACTAGACTATATCAAATATTTATTTCAATTTTCTCATGAAGGGTCTTAAAATTTGGAGAGAAAATAAATTAATCTGTTAATGCACCCACTCCTATTATAATATTTTTATTGCGGTGATTCCATATGAATTTAAAATAATAGCATCAACACTCTTCTTGCTCAAATGGACAATTTTATGGTATTTTAATGTGATAATTCTGAATTTGTTGCCCATTTTTACATCAAAATTTGATGAAAAGTTTTTACAATTCTTCTCATCTCCCCCCTTGTTTGCCTGTGTTCAGTCACCATATATTTTTGTTTATAGGTCTAAGGCCACCTCTTGGAAGAACAGACCAGCCCTGCTGTGGCCCTGAAGAGGGCCGTTGGGTTAAGAAAATGTCGTTAAGAGAAAAATTGCCTAGTTAAAGTGGATCCCACCAACCATACTAGCATTGAATATAGTAGTACATCATGGCAGGCGGGGGGGGGGGGGG